ACCAGCAGATTCAGAAACACAGTCCATGCTGACAGAAATGACACAAACAAGTATATAATATATCCATTAGTGGAGTGTTGTTCCTTGACGCATGATGAGTTGATGTCAGGAAAGCAGTATTGAGTCTCCTGATCCTCTGTCTCGTAGGCCATGAGTGAGTCTCCTCCTGTTAGGAGTTTGTTCTGCTCTCATTTCTGTCCTTTCATTTATACAGTGTCTGGATCAGACTGACCAACCCATCTACCGCCCACTCTGATTGAAAAAAAAAAGCTTGTCCTGCCTTCAATTTTTTTCTTGCCATAGTTTTTTTTTGTATTGTTACCAGCCCTCTGCATTATTTTTGATGTTTTTCACCTCAGTTTGTTGGCCCACAAAATATAATATATTTAAATAAAGAACCGAGCCTCTGCTTTTAAACAACAAAAGTATTTTATTCAATCCTCATGTTGAGAACAAAACAATTGTTCCCAAAAGTTGCAGAACCTGCTCTTAATACATTGCATTCACCGCTACTTTTAAGATATTTGCCTACAATTTTAAGCTGTATAAACCTATTTAAGCCTGTTTTTAATGTCAAAGATACTACAAAAAGTCTTATCTAACTAATTATGTTCATTACTACACAGAAACAACATTTGTGAGAAATTCCAATCTGGATTTAGATCATTTCATAGGACTCAAACATCACTCCTAAGAGTTATGAATGCTCCTATCACCAGATCGTGGTTCCATTTCTCTCTCAACGTTTTTGGACATCCGTGTCATAACATTCTCCTTGAATGGCCTTAAAAAAGGATGTTAGTTTTACTGGAACTGTATTGGCTTAGTTCAGGTCTTACTATATTTTATAGATTTGTGTCAGTTAATGTAGACCACAGGTGTCAAACTCAGTTCCTGGAGAGCCACAGCTCTTCACAGTTTAGTTTTAACCCTAATTAAACGCACCTCATCAAACTAATTGAGTCATTTAGGCTTGTTTGAAACCTACAGGTCAGTGTGTTGAAGCAGGGTTGGAACTGAACTGTGCAGGGTAGCAGCCCTTCAGGCACTGAGTTTGACACCCCTGATGTAGACCGTACCTATCAAAAGTACACTCTCAGATACCACAAGGCTCAGTTCTTGGTCCCTTTTTACATTGTATATGCTACCACTAGACAATATCATTAAAAACATAGAGTTAGTTTCCAGTGTTAGGCCTATATGACATCTCCTCTCAACTTGATAATTTATACAAAAATTTACAAAATTAACAGATTGTATAGCTGATATTAATAATTAGTTTAAAGTTCATCTTCATCTAAAATTCTTATTAATAAATTCAGATAAACTGAGCTTTTGCTTATTGGACTCAAAAATGTCTTGCGCAAAAACAAGTAATACTGCCTAAATCTTGATATATTTCTAAAGGTTTGTGTGTGATATTTAATAGCAAACTGTCAATTGAAGGCCACATTTTAAACCTTTGTAGACTTACATTTTTTATCTTAATAATGGGCTAACTTTGACATGCTATCATTGTCTGATGCAGAAAAGTCTATGTTTGTATGACCTCTAAGTTAGACTACTGTAATGCATTACTAGGTGTCTGCACTGTAGGCCTAATAAATGAACTTCAGCTGGTTCAAAATTCAGCTGCTAGAGTGCTTTCTAGAACAAAGAAATATGATCATTTAAGTCTGGTTTTGTCAGCATTGCATTGGCTCACAATTGAATATTGCATACATTTATAAATCTTATTTATTACATACAAATCCCTGTATGGCTTAGCTCCCCAGTATTAGAGGAAGCTCCTGGTGTGTTTTGGCCCATTTCCACTGAGTGGCACTGTACAGTTCGATACGCTTTTATGGCCGTTTCCACTGTCAAAAGGTACCAAAAAGCGAAGCGTACCCTACCACTTTTTGGGTTCCCTTTGCAAAGGGTACCTAGCATGACAAAAGGGTTCCATAAGGCGAAGCTAGATGCACAGCTGAACGCTATTGGTTCACAGAGAAACGTACCCCAGTGCATAGTCGGCGGGTAGCCAGAAGAATGAAAACAAAGGAACCGCCATTTTTAAATACACAGCTGAGACATTACACTGTGATAATATATATATACACAATATATATAATATATGCACAAATATACACAATACATATAATAATGAGCCATGGTCAACCCAAGCGCAAACAAACCTTGTCGTCTTGATGAACACACTGTAAAAAATGTTGAGTTCCACACCATAGATTTGTGTTCAGACTACATGAAAGAACAACAAGTAAGTTAGCTAATTCATTTTTTAGTTATTTGATTTTATTAAACATAAGACAATCAAGTCTATTCAAAACCTTAAAGAATTGAAGTAATTTGAACAAACAACAAACGTCATTTTTTTTTTGAGTGCAGCCACAAAGGCAAGAAGGACAAAATCTGGCGTGTCTGAGCAGTTTCACTTTCTCCAGAGAGCTTGCGATCACTTGCCGCACATCTTTGTTTGAAATAACTAACTTCTTGAGCTGATGATAACGTGCGTGAGATTATTGAAGTGCTTCTGACATCCGGTCCTTTCATAAATGAACAAATGCGAGAGTGAAGCAGAAAAAAAATAAAGGAGCAAATGATTCCTTCAGCAACCTAAAACATGAACAAACTGCCATGCTTAACTATTATCATTTCCTTTTGGACTATTATGAACTTGGACTCTGTAACAGAGGTTACATGTGCTGGTGAATATCAAAGATACAGATGAGAGGTTTGCACTGACTGTGGGCTATATTGCATATAGTTTTTCTAACAGAAATAAGGACTAAATGTATGCTGTGTATAGTTTTTCTGTAATTAGAAATATATCGGAAACTGTAAGGTTCTGTATGTGTTCGTGTACGTTACATTTTTGGTTTATTTTATATAATAGCAGACGTTACAGTAGGCTATTATCATTGATTTGACTTATAATCAAATCATGTTCATAGAAAGGTTAATAATAAACATTTACACACAAAAATGTATCTGTATAAAGCATCTGTTTTGTGAGCAGTGCTTCTTATATGATATGTGAGTGACCCGTGCAGCTTTACTTTGACATTTCCTTGAGTGAGAATGACGTTGACTGAAACTTTGTCATTTGTTTTGGCTGTGGAAATGCAAGCCTGATAAACGTGACTCGTACCAACCTTTACCATACTGTACCTCTCAGTGGAAACAGGCCATTACAGGCTCTCATCTACACTAAATTAATTCTGGACAATTGATTATTCAGAGAATGTCAAAATCAATTGTACGCAGAAGATTTCACATATCACATATCAGGCACCTAAACTCTGGAACTGCCTTCCTAGCACAGTTCGGAAAGCAGACACACTGTCCCTTCAAAAATACAGTTCTGTCCTGAATCTCTGCGTGCGCAGGTTAATAGATCACACTTAATCTGCTTCTAATTATTAAATAAATGGTGCAGGAGATTGGTTGCTGTCTCCTTAGCAGCCAATGAGCTTCCTGCTCAACTTTTTGAAATGCCTTTGTTGTTTAACAACGGCAATTTGCAGCATGTTTTTGTATGATGGCCAACTGAAAACATCACAAGACCGACAACTAGCTTTTACTTGACAATCTTTTACTCTCTTGTGCTTGGCTGCTCAATGCTTATTCAGGCATTTGTATGTTCAGTTCCAGCTCAAGGTATACAAATGCATTCATAAAAAAATGCAGTGTTGGTACACTGTCGGATACCACAAGGCTCAGTTCTTGGTCCCTTTTTACATTATATATGCTAATATCATTAAAAACAGAGAGTTAATTTCCAGTGTTAGGCCAATGATGTCTCCTCTTAACTTGATAATTTAGAATATTAATAATTAGATTAAAGTTCTGATGTCTTGTTTATTGGACTCAAAAATGTCTTGCGCAAAAACATGTAAGACTGCCTAAACTTTGATATATTTTGAAGGGTTTGTGTGTGATATATGATAGCAACCTGTCAATTGACAGCCACATGTCAAACATCTGTAGAACCACATTTATTTCATCTTAATAATGGGATAAATTTGACATGCTTGTTTAAAAGTTACAACAGAAGTCTGGTGCTCAAACACCACTTTTATCATATCCTCACCTTGGAATTATAAGGTTCTGTCTGCGTTCTGAATAATTTTGAGATATTGAGCTTCATTGTTTTCGCATTCAATAGCAAACAGGATGTGTGTAACATTTTTTTTTTTAATAAAAAGTCTTTAAATGTAAACAACTTATAAAAAACATCCCGTGATGTAAATAAGTTATCATTTCATAAGAATATGTCAATAACTCAATTTTGACAAAAATGTCAGATAGAACCTTATAATTCTAAGGTGACGATATGTTCAAATTGCTGCAGTACTATGACAATGCCACAAGTTATTGTATGTGCGCCTGCTCAAAGATTGAGGTGGGAGACTTTCTAAATTAGTGATTGGTTTTCAATATTTTGCTGTCACACTTGATCAGGGGAAAGCTCTGAATATGGAGATGTTTCCTGTCAAAAACACACCAGCCGGGTCACTTCTTTTATCATAAGTATTACTGTTAAATGAAATAAAGATATCTCATTTGTAGTAATGCTGTACTTTGGGCTTGTAAAATGGCAGTGTTGGTACAGTAGGCCTCTCTCCAGGCAGTCACATGGGTTGGTCTGTCTTTTACTCTTACTGATCAATGAAAACATCAATGATATAACAACTCTGAGTAGATTTGTGTTTTGTGTGTTATTAATATTGATGATATTCATGATTCTCCACTGAACCTTTCATTAAAGGTGTGAAATGTGTAAAGGTGTAAAGACGTCCACACAGCACTGATGTGATGCAACACTGCCTCACATACAATGAGTTCAGCTTTCATGTGTGACCTGTGAATTGGAAAAAAAGGCAATAATGACTGATACATCATTGATTCACTAACATTATTTACCTCCATCATCTCCAATGCTCTGCATGAACACACAGTATAATAAATATGGACATTAGAAACAAAAGAAACACTGATATCACTACTAGTTTTTCTTTATTATTCTTGAAAGTGATCTTATGTTTGTATGTAATTGTTACAATTAATAGTTTTAATAGTATCACATATAACAATATCTACCATTATGAGAAACAGCTTTAGCAGTTTAGCTAAAGCTCATGTTCTGTAAAAATATTGATCAGAGAGGATGCAAGCTGAAATATTTTGAGAGTTAAGATGAGTTTAGTTGTCTTTTTAAACCAGGGGTAAAATAAAGCATAAACCAGAGGATTCATACCCGAGTTAGCATACACAATCCATGTCAAAATGCTTACAGCTGTGGAATAGTTTACAGTTAATGTACAGATATAGTATGGAATCCAGCAAAGCAAATACACAAGCACAATGATTCCTAAAGTCAGAGCAGCTTTACTCTCAGATTTCCTCTTGACTGAACCCTCTGTTACACATTTACCACGCTTCATCAGAGAGTTTATAATCTTCACTTGCTGATGAACAACATAGAAAATCCTCAAATATAAAGTGATCATTATGAGGCAGGGGAAAATAAAACACATGAACAGATCAGTGACTATCCAACTAAAACTCATCATGATTAAACACTGCCCATAACACACGTCTGTTCTGTGTGAATTGTCAAAATATCTATTATAAATTATGAGAGCTGAGATATAAGCTGAGTAGCAAAGCCAGCTCAGACCGATACTCATTAGTGTGTTTGTCATGGTTATCTTCTGTGGGTACAGTAAAGGGTGACACACAGCCACATAACGATCAACAGCAATTAAAACCAAATTACTAAGAGATGCTGAGGGAATGACCCAAATTAAAATTAAAATGAATCCACAGACAGTTTCTCCAAAATACCAACACTTGTCAATCAGTCTGACGGCCTCCACAGGCATCACGATAAGGCCAATAAGCAGATCATTTACAGCCAGAGAGAGAATAATCATGTTGGTTGAAGTGTGAAGCTTCTTGAAGTGAGAGATGGAGATGATCACCAGCAGGTTCAGAAACACAGTCCATACCGAGAGCAATGAGACAAACACACATATTATGATATATCCATGAGTGGAGCGTTGTTCCTTCACACATGATGAGTTGATGTCAGGAAAGCAGTATTGAGTCTCCTGATGCTCTGTCTCATAGGCCATGAGTGAGTCTCCTCCTGTTAGGAGTTTGTTCTGCTCTCCTTTCTGTTCTTTCATTTATACAGTGTCTGGATCAGACTGACCAACCCAAATACCGCCTACTTTGATTTGTCAAAAAAAAAAAAGTTCTCCCAATCCACCCTATACCTCTTTTTTTGCCATTTTTTTTTCTTACCAGCTATCTGGAGCATTTGATGATTTTCACTCATATTTTATGGCCCTGAGAGTATTATATATTTATGAAAATAAAGAACCAAGCCAATATGCAGTACATACAGATAAGCCTAAAATTATTCTTAAATAGAAACCCGAGTTAACTGTTGGGTGCCTCGCCGAGCCCATACCAGTGCACCCGAAGGGCACCCAGGTAATGGATGGCGGCACTGGCGGTTTGGACAGTGACGCCAACCCGAAATGTCTTTTCCCTGGCACCAAATGAATAATCCAGACCTAGAATACCCTGCATCATACAGATGGGGTGGGCAACACTCACCTTTTTCATTGTTCATTGATGCCTGATGATCAAGCTGGTGGCCTCTATGCTGCGATATTAAAGTCCTCGTGCAGATGGGTGTCCCAGATGCCCCTAGGTTTTGGTGAGCTATCAATTCATCAAAAACCTGTTGTTAGAAACCTTGGGTTTTATTTTAATAGTGATCTGAAATTTAAATAAATAGTATATTCATTTGTTAAATCCAGTTTTTTTTCCATTTACGACTTCACAAAAGTGAAATAATTTCTCTCTTTTAATGACCTTGAGAAGGCGATCCATGATTTTATTTTGGGAAGACTTGACTATTGCAACTCTCTATATGTAGGTTTTGGTCAAAATGACCTAAAAAGATTGCAATTAGTACAAAATGCCGCTGCGAGACTTCTGACATGGACTCACAAGTATGAGCACATATCCCCAATTCTTTCCTCTCTGGGCTGGCTGCCTGTTAGGTATTAACTTTTGTTTTTAAATCCTTAAATGATCTGCCACCACCTTACTTACCAGACCTTCTACATGTGTATATAATCCTGGTAGGTCACTAAGGTCTTCTGATCAGTTTATTCTTTCGTTGTAAGCGAAGTGGGTATCGGGCTTTTGCTTTTATCGCCCCAAACCTCTGGAACAGGCTTTGAGCCCACATCAGACCTGTTCCATCTGTTTTTAAAAAGCGTCTGAAACTCCATCTTTGTTCTTTAGCATTTGAGCCTTTTTAATGTTGAGGGGTTTGTCTTATGTTTTAATTGTAATGCATGTGATGTAGGCTTTATTTTAATTAGCATTGATTGTTTTCAGCACTTTGGTCAACGTTGTGTTGTAAGTAAGGGTGTCACGATCCTCCACATCCTCGATTCGATTACATTTTCGATTCTAAAGTCTTGGTTCAATTCGGTTTTCGATTTGAAACCACAAGCTGTGCCATTTAAAGACTTTTATGCAATATAATATTATCTGACCTTTGTGCGCTGTGACAGGCATGAAGCTCTGTGTTGCTCTGAAGGTCCAGCAATCACAAGGCTACTAAAAGAGCACTGCTAAGACCTTTAATAACTTTCTCCCTCACATTATTGTACATGGAGGGTGTCACTATAGCTAGGAGATGCGTTCTACTTGGGATTTCGTAGCGCGGTTCTAGCACACTAATTAAGTGCCTAAAACTGGAGTTTTCTATGTTTTTGTGTTGCCTGCGGAGATGCCCTGCCATGTTAGTCATGCTGCCGATGGAATAATGTGGTATACTTACAAGGGTTTGGCGATGTCGACTGATCTGGCATTGTACGATGTCTAATATGAAACATCGCAATGGACGATGGCATCGTCGTCATATGCGGCGGTGAGTTAATTATGAATAATTAATTCATTCATAACGAATTAATTATTTGTAGCCTACCGTTTAAACTACCTGACCTACCTGATCTTTGTTTTACCCATAAACAAATCATACAGTAAATGAATAAAGATAAGTTACACACATAATTACCACCTGTCAATCACTTTTACTGGGGGACTCGTATAGACAGTAATCTGTGTCCTTATTTATAATGGCCTTGGTAAAAAAAAAAGGTGCACAACCAACAGGAACCAGCCAGCAGTATCTGAGGTGTTCGCTAAAATTACTAAGTACAAGTGAGAAAGTGAAAGACTGAAGCAGTCTACTTACCTGCTGACTGCCTGGACCCGCTGTCTTGAGCGCATGAAAGTGTGTGTGTGTGTGTGTGGTCAAGTCAGACGGTATGTGCGTTTTCAGTGGTAGTGATGAAGAAGGGCTGTTCAGAAATGCTAAACGCCAGTGTGGATGTGGATTGCTTTCGTCCTAAAATGCCATTCAAAAACTAAGACCTATTAGTGTAAACAGGGGCCGAGTTTGTATTTTTCACGAGCGGATTTGCAACGGGGGCAGGGCGGAGTATCGCGTACATAGCAGAGCTTGCAGTTTTTTTTTTTTTTCGTCGACAACACAAAAACTTTCAACATAACTCATTGGAAATCCAAAATACTTCCACACCGACAACTTCATTGAAAGAGGAGAGGGTTTAAGTTCTTTCGACAGGTCTCCTGCATCTGCATTTCAACAAGCACTTCAACAAGCATGTTTTTTTTTTTTTCCGCTTGGCAAGCAGAGCTGAAGTGACATGAGGGCGTGGCAGCATCGACGATTCCATTTTTTGATTCGATAATCTAAATTGAGCATGAATTTCGATCGATTTAGATTTAAAATCAAAATCATGACACCCTTAGTTGTAAGAAATGTGTTATATAAACTAACTAACTAACTAACTAACCCCAGATAGTCCCTCGGTGAGGGGGCTGCTGGTCAGTGTACTGGCAACCATGGTGAGAGCCATTATCCACATATGGAAAAAACATGAAACAATGGAGAACATTCTCGGTTGCCTGATGGAAAAAAATTTATCCCAGAGCACAGCTACAATTCATCCAAAAACTGCAGGCCTAACTTGACTCTAGTTAAGGTGAGTGTCCATGAAAAAAGAGACTGGGCAAAAATGTTTTGCATAGCAGAGATCTAAGACAAAAAAACACTACTGAGCAAAAATAACATAAAGGCTGCTGTCAGTTTGCCAGAAGACATTTAGATGATTCCCAAGACTTTTGTGAAATTGTGGAGAGACGTGACAAAAGCTAAACCTCTTTAAACCTTTTTCTAATTAACACTGGATTTCAGGAAAAGAACACCAACAGTAAAATGTGGTGGTGATAGTGTGATGGTCTGGGGCTGTTTTGCTGCTTCAGAACCTGGAAGACTTGCTGCTATACAATGGAACTTGAAGGCATATATCATGGTATCATAACGATATAATGTGGCAATAAGATCATATCTATACTGTTTATAATAGAGACACTGTAAAAAGGTAATTCCCAGCCACTAGACTTTTCTGATAGGGTATTCTTATGTCATTGAGTGTCAGATGTGAAAGTATGTTGTGGTATGGTTTCGAATGTGATCCTCAAAAAAGGTAGAGGTAGGATTGGACCTTAGGGTGTACTCGCACTACGCTATCCGAACCGTGCCCAGGCCCATTTCCCGGATCGTTTGAGAAGTGTGAGTGCTCTGAATTGGGCTCAGGCGTGGTTCACTTGGCCGACCCTGGCCCTGTTGGAAGAGGTGTACCAGAACTCTGTTTACTTGGGCACAGTATGCTCGTAGTGTGAGTGCAAAGTGCGCCTGAATCCGAAACTGACGAGACGTGACTTTTAAAGATCTGTTTCATATGGATTTATGCTCCCTCACTGCACGACAGCTGCACCTTCAGCAAACCTCCTAATTCCTGAAGAACGAGGACTTTATGATTGTTTATTAGTGTCAAAAGGGGTTGATCTGTTCGGCGAAATATTTGACTGCGTGTCACTGCATCCCAAACGACTTAAATGATATAACGATATAAAGAAATCTCCACTGTGCTGAGCGAGAGTATGGCGTTTGCACAAAACAGCGCATCATCGCTGACATAAGCATGCCCAGGCACGAATGCGATGTGAGCAGGGTCTGTCGGAGGAGACGGGAGAGGGTACGAGCATGCTTCGGCCTGGTTGAAGGCAACTATACATAGTGTGAGTACGCCCTTAGTCTTAAAGTCTGGGCTTCTTCTGCTTGTAAGCATTGGTTAGTGGTGTCCAAATGGTAGATTTATGCACAACTGCAGGAGCAGGTTGTGCTCAAAACTTGGTCGTGGAGGGCCGGTGTCCTGCAGAGTTTAGCTCTAACCTAAGCCAATCATTAATCTTAATAGGTACACCAGAATCTTCCAGACTGATGTGTTTAGGCAAATTGGAACTAATCTATGCAAGACGCCAGCACTCCAGGACCAAGTTTGGGCACCCGTTCTCTAGAGGATTCTGTACCTTGAGGTTTCAGAGAAACCAGCAGCTTCAAAAATAAGTTTGCTGCTTTGTGATGACGTTTTAGCCACTGCTCTCTCAATCTGATAAATTTGTAGAGCAGAAACCAAAGTGTTGTGCTGTCACTCTTGATCAGGAGTTTACAACAAAAACAGAGCCTGACTTTATTTTCATTGTCAATCTTAAATTAGAAAATATATTTAATTTGTTGTAATGCTGCTGTGGGCTTTTGAAATGGCAGTGTTGGTACAGTAGGCCTCTCTCCAGGCAGTCACATGGGTTGGTCTGTCTTTGTTTACTCTTACTGATTAATGAAAACATCAATGATGTAACAACACTAAGGACCAATTATAATTGTTAAGATTTGTTTTTTATGTGTTCTTGATATTGAAGATCCTCCAGTGAAACATTCATTAAAGGTGTGAAATACTACAAACACATACACATACTGAAGTGATGCAACACTGCCTCAGAGTGAGGTCAGCTTTCATGTGTAATTCACTAATGTTATCTGAACATTATTTACCTCCAACATCTCAATGTCCAGCATAAACGCACAATGCAATAAATTCAGTAGTTAAGGAATATATTATGTTAATATAAAATCAGGTTTTAATTAATCCTATCAAATATAATAATATCTATCATTGTGAGAGACAGCTTTACCAGTTTAATTACAATTCATTTTCTATAAAAATATTGACCAGAGAGGATGCCGGCTCAAATATTTTCAGAGTTAAGATGACTTTAACTGTCTTTTTAAACCAGGGGTAAAATAAAGCATAAACCAGAGGATTCAGACCAGAGTTAGCATACACAACCCATGTCAAAACACTTAAAACTGTGGAAGAGTTTACAGATAAAGCACAGATATAGTAAGGAATCCAGCAAAGCATATACACTGACACAATGATTCCTAAAGTCAGAGCAGCTTTACTCTCAGATTTCCTCTTCACTGAACCATCCGTTACACATTTACCACCCTTCATCAGAGAGTTTATAACCTTCACTTGCTGATGAACGACATAGAAAATCCTCAAATATAAAGTGATGATTATCACACAGGGAAAGGTAAAACACACAAACAGATCAGTGAGTATCCAAGTAAAACTCATCATGGCTGAACACTGTCCATAACACATGTCTGTTCTGTATGAAGTGTCAAAATATCCATTATTAATAATAAGGACAGTGTTATAAGCGGAGTAGTAAACCCAGCTCAGACAGATACTAATCAACATGTTAGAGATGGTTATTTTCTGTGGGTACAGTAAAGGGTAACACACAGCCACATAACGATCGACAGCAATTAAAACTAAATTACTAACAGATGCTGAGAGAATCGCCCCAATTATTATTAAATTGAAACCACAGAAAGTGTCTCCAAAATACCAACACGTCTCGATCAGTCTGATGGCCTCTATAGGCATGACAAGTCCAATTAGCAGATCAGCCACAGACAGAGAGAGAATAATCATGTTGGTTGGAGTGTGAAGCTTCTTGAAGTGAGAGATGGAGATGATCACCAGCAGGTTCAGAAACACAGTCCATGCTGACAGCAATGGAAAAAACAAATACATAAAATTATATTCATGACTGGAGCGTTGTTTCTTCACACATGATGAGTTGATGTCAGGAAAGCAGTATTGAGTCTCCTGATCCTCTGTCTCATAGGCCATGAGTGAGTCTCCTTCTGTTTGTTCTGCTGTCCTTTCATTTATACAGTGTCTGGGATCAGACTGACCAACCCATGTACCGCCTACTCTGATGTAAAAGAAAAAAGAAAAAAAAAGTCCTCCCAGTCCATTCTGAATTAACTATCATATTGAAAGCCTGTTTGAATCTTGAATAGTGTTCCTTGTTTTTTAAAGCTAAATGTCATATTTATCATCTTATCTGTTTGTGTAAACCATTACATCAGGTTATCTGTTGTTTACTGGGGTATTGACCTGATTCTAAAATGCGGAAGTGCGCCTGTTTTCGCGATTGTCTTAGAACTTCCGATTCAGTCGCCTATGGGAGAAATGACAAGGAATAATAAACGGCAGAAAATGGGCAAACTACTTGCTCAACAAACAAATGTTTGCATGACTACACAGACCACGTAGCATAATATAATAAGAAAATATTAAATTGCAACATCAAGCAGCGTAACGAGCAGTTGTTAACGTCAAACAATTAATGGAAGTGAATGTGACCGGAAGTCGCGAGACAAAAAGATTCAAATGGCAGCGCCCGCTCGTCACCTGAGAATAAGGTGAATATTAGGCATGTATCAACATTTAAACCAAAGCAAAAAAATAAATAAAAAATGTCACCAACAGTGAGTATCAATATATAACAAAATATAAATACTTTAGAAGCAAAATAACAGGTAACTTAACTTTTTATACCATCTCTATCTTGTACACATCTTCATGCTTATTAAAAAAGTACAAATGTTTTACTGCAGGATCCTCTTTTGTAAAATATTTTGTTCATAAAGACTCGATTGTTTTCACAGATTTATTATAGCTATTTATTTAGCTTAATTAATTAACATAAATTATTTAAGTTATGTATTTTCGTAAATATCCTATATATTAACTTAAATAAGTCTTACAGACTTGATATAAAATAATTGTCATCATTGATTCTGACACCCCTATAAAGGTTTCTTAACAAATTAATTTTCTTGTCGGCTAAGTCCCTTTATTATACCGGGGTCGCCATAGCGGAATGAACCTTTTTTACGCAGCGGATGCCCTTCCAGCCGCAACCCATCTCTGGGAAACATCCACACACACATTCACTCACACACTCATACACTAAGGACAATTTAGCCTACCCAATTCACCTGTACAGCATGTCTTTCGACTGTGGGGGAAACCTGAGCACCCGGAGGAAACCCATGCGAACGCAGGGAGAACATGCAAACTCCACACAGAAACGCCAACTGAGCCAAGGATCGAACCAGCAACCTTCTTGCTGTGAGGCGACCGCAATATCTACTGCGCCACTGCATCACCGTTTCTTAACAAATTAGGTTTAAAAAAATGTCTACGATTATAAAATATTTTATTTTTCTGTCAAACTGTTTATGCTGAAATGTTAAAAGTGGCATTGATGTACCTGCTCTTTCTGGGAAATTTCTACTTAAAGTTTATCTCATTTATTTAGCTCCTTTTGTTCAAACTTTTCGGATTAAAATGCTTTTTTAAAAATGCTTTTATTATCCAAAATAACCCTATTTGGGGATATTTATTTCCTTTTTTATGTGCCCTCTTGTTTTCCCCTATATTTCTCATGCGTTTGTTATATAGGCTACTCAAATTTAAATTTTAATATCTCATTGTTTAAAAATAACCTACAGTTTGTAAAGACTGTTTTCTGTTTTATTTGTACTGTAAAACTTTTTTTTGTTATTGCAATAACATTGGTCATGACTAAAGTAGCTTTGAGCCCTGAAGTGTCCGCCTAACGGCTCCATTTTCAACTTCATCCCCGCCGTCGCTCTGCAAATCTCGTTGACCACCAGCTGTAGCCGTGCTTCATGTCGGACTGTCGGGGAAACCGGAGCACCCAGAGGAAACCCACACTAACACTGGAAGAACATGCAAACTCCACACAGAAATGCCAACCGACCCAGCCGAGGCTCGAACCAGTGACTCCCTTGCTGTGAGGCAATCGTTCTACCCACTGTGCCACCTTAATGCCTAGTTTAGTTCAGTGTGGTTTAATGTTCACGGCTGAATGCTATATTACTCACCTGCATCATGTGTTCCTCACCAAAGAATACTCGCATGCGCATCTTGCCTCCCTCATCAGTAGTATGCTCACTCACAGCGCACACATCTCGCCTTCCTCACCATAGTATGCTACTCATGCATCTTTTCTTTATTATATTTATTTGATGTTTATTAATATAGCATTTTACAATGTAAATTGTGTCAAAGCAGCTTAACAGAAGTTCTAGTAAACTGAAACTGTGTCAGTCCAGTTGAAGTTCAGTTTAGTTCAGTTCATTTGCTTTTCAGCTTAGTCCCTTTATTAATCTGGCTCTGCCACAGTTCAGTGAACCTTCAACTTATTCAGCATATGTTTTAGGCAGCGGATGCCCTTCCAGCTGCAACCCATCACTAGGAAACACCTATACACACTCATCCACACACATACACTACGGACAATTTATAGCTTACCCAATTCACCTGTACCACATGGACTGTCAGGGAAACCGGAGCACCCAGAAGAAACCCACACTAACACTGGGAGAACATGCAAACTCCACACAGAAATGCCAACCGACCCAGCCGAGGCTTGAACCAGTGATTCCCTAGCTGTGAGGCAATCGTTCTACCCACTGTGCCACCTTAATGCCTAGTTTAGTTCAGTGCGGTTTCATGTTCACGACTGAAAGTCCAAACACTGAAGAGCAAATCCATTGATGCGCAGCTCCACAAGTCCCAAACCAAGCAAGCCATCTTGTAGCCAAGACCCTGGTTGCAGCATCTCTGAGGCCCCGTTTACACTAATGCGTTTTATTTTGAAAACGCATAAGTTTTGCTACGGTTATGGTACACTACGCCGGAGTTTTCGAGCGCTAAAAGCGGAGCGTTTTGAAAATGCTGAAGAAGCCATTTTTATTCTAAAACGCTGCTGCTCCATCTCAGTGTGGATGGGGGAAAATGGAGACATCTGAAAACGGAGGCAGGGCTGCCGACATTCCCCTCTCTGATTGGGGCTCAATATTAAGTAGCCTACACACAGTTCAGTCCTGCATCCTCTCCTTGAAAATTCAGACTTCGCAAGTTTGATATGGAAAACTGACCCCCGAGGACATGTCGGGTAAATTTTCAAAGGAACAGTGTACAGTATAACCTTACTCACATCTCCCTGGCTACGTTGTTTCACTTTCTTAACAATAAAATACAAATATGAAGGAACTGCTATTTCCATTTTGATATTAACTTAACAGACAGCAGAAATGTTGAGGCGTTGTGCTGCATTTATGAGCGTCATCTTCACTGTATGCATATTTATAACAAAACGGAGCCTATGACTGCCTTCTTTCGTTTTCATTGAGAATACGAACCATACCCTCTCTTTTACTGAATATCAGATTTAATAATCAATAATGGCCAATATAAAAGTATAACATACAATAAGTTTATACATTATAGGAAATAAAAGCAAGCAATCAGTCAATATACAGCATGTACGTGGTTACATTAATTATTAATTTATCTCTGCGCTCAGCAAAAACACGTTGCCCGAGAACAAGTAATAGATTCAACAGACCAAAGTCTGGGAATATGTCCTTAGATATAGACAACAAGATGAATTTAATATCACGTTTAACAAATATAGTGAGATTAGATCCAGCGGGAGATACTTGATGAACACTCCGACTAAGTGCAGCTCTCATCTGGGTGGATAGGCTGCAGCGCTTGCCAGAGTGTGTGGGGTCATGTGATGTGCGTTTTCAGTGTTTTGGTGAAGATGGAGAGCTGTTCAGAAACGCTAGGTGAAACGCTGGTGTAGACGCGGATCGTTTTCATTTTAAAATGCCGTTTTAAAACTAAAACGCACTAGTGTAACAGGGCCTGAGACTGCAGCCAAATGAATGTGAGACAAGCACTTTATTGATGGTTGAATATATTTATTGATAGCATAAGCAGAAGTCGTCATTATATACCATAGTTTTTCATCTATTTCTGGCAGAATCTTGATCAGGTTTACAGACCCCAATAAATAAAAGACCTTTCTGAATTAGTGATTGGGTTTAAGGTTTCCGCTGTCAATCTTGATCAGGAGAAAGCTCTGCCTGTGGACTATACAAACTACATCAGATCCTTGTCACTTTTCCAGTATTAAACTTACATTACGATATATATATATATATATATATATATATATATATATATATATATATATATATAATTTGTTGTAATGTTGTACAGTGGGCTTGTAAAATGACAGTGTTGGTACAGTAGGCCTCTCTCCAGGCAGTCACATGGGTTGGTCTGTCTTTGTTTACTCTACTGATCAGTGAAACATCAATGATGAAACAACTCTGAAGACCAATTATTATTAGATTATTAATAGATTTGTTTTTCATGTGTTATTGATATTGTTGATCCTCCACTGAGCTGTTCATTAAAGGTGTGAAAAATTGTTCACACACACACACACTCACACACACAGAGCACTGAAGTGATGCAATAGTGTCTCAATGTGTTGAACAATGAGGTCAGCCTTCATGTGTGACCTGTGGATTGGAAAAATATTCAAGATGACCTAATAAAAATAGTCTGAATAGGCTAATACAACATTGATTCACTAGTGTTATCTGAACATTGTTTATCTCTAATGCCTAAATTGAACACAAAGTGTAGTATATTCAGAAACAAATGGAACAATGTCCTCCCTACCAATATTGTTTTAATGATCTTAAAAGTAATCTTTTGTTTATGTCATTATTTTATAGTATCAGTAATAAAATCTACCATAATGAGCAAGCAACAACAATGGCCAGTTTAATTACAATTCAAGTTCTGTAAATATATTGATCAGAGAGGATGCCGGCTTAAATATTTTCAGAGTTAAGATGAGTTTAGCTGTCTTTTTAAACCAGGGGTAAAATAAAGCATAAATCAGAGGATTCAGACCTGAGTTAGTAAACACAGCCCATGATAAAACATTTATAG